TTTCGAAAGCTTTCTTAATAAGTCTTGTTTGCAGCACGTGAAATTTTGATTAAAATGAGACATCTTCCAGCTCTACACCACCTGTCTTTGTAAAGTTATAGAATTTACAAGAAAAGCCCTAAATGTTGATTGTCAGCTCAAAGCTACTGAAATAAGTAGAAATTATTTAGGGCTTTTCTTGTAAATTCTATAACTTTGCAAAGACGGGTGGTGTAGAGCTGGGAGATCTCATTTTAATCAAAATTTCACGTGCTGCAAACAAGACTTATTAAGAAAGCTTTCGAAAATATTTTTCTGATTTGAGTTTCTGGAAAACTGGATCTCTGAAGCCGTATTGGCCCTTCCCATGATGATATTCGTAATCAGCACCCTCGATTACTACCGAGTTTCAGTTCGAAAGCGATTTTAAAGTTGGGGATCTTCTCTCGTAAAACCAGAATACAAAAACCTTTATTTGATTTGAAGTACCTGCTTCATCCGTATCTTCAGCTAGAATAGTTGCATCACATCCTCTTTGTAAATTAGTGGAGAACATAACAGGCAATGATGAATGTTTTTCTAAATGAAACAGTATAAAATTTATTATATTTTGTGTATCTAATTCACGAAAAGCTATAGTATTTCACTCTTGCTTTCGACTGTCTGCGTTCTTACCATCCATCAACCAGAAGTTATTATCAAATATTAGTTCATCGAACAACAGATTCATATCATGACATAAATATGATTGACGATTGTTAGTGATCAAATTTAATTCACTTGTTTGATTATGGGATGCATGGCGTTCAGATATTTCTGGATAAATATTTTCGATTGTTATGGATGATTGTGTATTTTGAGGCTCTAAAATTGTTCGTTGTTGATCTAAAAAAAGGAAGACAAATGACTACAACAGATGACTGGTTTAAGTGAAAGAATATTAGACAGGTTAACATATGCATCACTACAGCATACATTTTTGTCTATCCAAAAATAAAATATTCAAGCTTTAAGTTTCCATTCAGAATTTTAATGGAAACATTTTCCATTCATTCCTGGTCATCTCTCACTAGGATCAAGTATATACCTTTTACACGTGTCCGAGTAATATTCGTTACATGAACTGGAGACGTTGCTTTATTGCGACTACACGAGTGCGATTGGCCACTAGGACCCGCACCGTTTAGTTGAATTTCATTCTTGTTCCGATCCCCAACATTTTTGTTCGGGATATTATTCAATGCACCTATTAGTTGTGTGTGATTTACCATCAAATTTGATTTTCTTTCTATAAAAAGATAAAAACGAGAAACAGTGTGCATGTTGAAAACAAAAGCGGCTGTTGAGTGAAAGGGTGTTTCTAAAAACGAAAATGCAATTTATCTAAACTTTGTAACGCGTAGCTTGGTCGAGCTTTGGCTCTCAAATCTAGAAATGCTGAAACTTTCTATTGATTTTCAATTTCTCCACAGCCAGAGGAATGGATGGGACACTTAGTGAAATAGAGTTATAAAATAATTTCAAGCGACAAAGAGAAATTATACGAATTCAGAAACGATAAATATCTTTTGATAACTTCTTTTGCATTCCACTTCGCGAAATCTTCTTCACTAGTGTTTCAAACTCAAACCGATATATTAATCTATCTGATGGTTTCTTTCCTTCGCTCTGAATTTTGCAATTACCGTCTAAAAAGAGATGTTGAGAGACGAATTTCAACCTAATTGCAGTTTTCCCTACAGTATATGTAAAGTGCAGAACAGAGGTAATTGTGAAAAACACCCCCAATATATAAGTGTTCGCTCACCACAGGGTTTTCTTTTTTGTTCATCTTTATGATACTCCAGAAATCGCTGTTGTTCTTGAATTATTCTCAGTACATCACCAAGTAATGTCCATGACATATCAGCACTATCTGGCCATGTTGCATAATTATCCAGATAATCAGCTAATGATAAACCATAATCTTGCTTTAATGTCTGAACAATTTGTTTTAACTGATCATCATTTCTTGGATCTGGAATAACTTTACACCACGATGTTAGCACACGTTTATTACTAACACGTACAAATTTTCCTTCTTTCAAGAAACCTTTTTGAGCCAAATTTGCTATCAACGTTTGAACCGAAGAGCACCCGGGTTTCGGATGGTGAAATATAGCATTAGCATTTGTTGCTTTACCAGTTAATGATGTTACTGTGAATACCTTAAATTTAGCCAGCAACAACTTTTTTTCATTTTCATTGTCTTGTCTTGTTTGTTGTTCGATATCCATATCATAACTAAATAACATTGCTGATATCGGATACAATAGTTTATCATAAAATTTTAAACCGGTAGATATTGCTTTCATCGATATTGGTAAATATTGCCCATGTTTTGGTTGTTGTTGTATAGATGATACGATATATTGTTGATCGGTAGACGACACATTAATTATTGTTGTTAGTTTCGTATCATACATTGTTTGATTAATATTCTTCTCAATATCGGCGATCAAAGACGGTGGGACCTTGTGGAAATTGAAATCGGAAATTTTCGATAAAATATCACAAACATCAAATAACGCCTGAAATGCCGTTATTATTCGTACGAGATGATCGGCTGAGCGTCGTTGTAATGCCTTGTTGCGTTTTGTCGACGGCGGTTTTGTTGATATTTCAGGCGGAGTTTCGTTTGTTAATAAATCAATCAAAATCGGATTGATAAATTCGTATTCTTTATCATCAAACATATAAACACGATTTCCCATCAAATATCTTGTTATAAATACGCATTCTAACGCAGGTAATTTTGTATTTAATTGTTGTTCATGTCCATAACGTATTGCATTGCTAATTGATGTTGGTGTGATTACATAATACAAAAAGCGTTCAAATAATCCACTAGTTGTATTACCATTATCGAAATATTCTAATATTGTTGAAAATTTTGAGCCGGTTGATGGAACAAGAACAGATAAAGATTTATTTTGTACACGCTTTGAATATGTCATTGTATCCTGAAAGTCGAGATGAAAGTTACAAAATGAATAAGCAAATCAAGAAAACACCGAGTTCCAATATCATCGATCAATAATAGAGAATACTGACCTTTTTCATATCATATATTCCATTATATGCCGTTAAGAATGTTGATTGTTTTGCTGCGGCTATCAGTGTACCAGGTTCAAAGAACGCCATTGATGTTAGTGGACCATCTTCATCCGAAGACAAAAACTTCGATGAATGCTGCAGTGTGGCAATTATCTTGGCGTCTGTTGTTGATTCAATACATGTTGAATAATGAGTTGGTTGTTGCTGTTCGTCATATTCAACAAATTGATCATGAAATATGGTTTCAAGGAAATCGAAAGCTTTTCTTATTAAAGCAACATATTCGCTTTTCTTCAATGCTATAGAAAAAGAATGAACGAAATGTCACTGACTATAGGACTGATTGTTGTGAACGTAAAACAACATATATCTTCGAAAATCTGAATAATTTATCTTACCTGATTCTCCAATGAGGATTCCCATTTGATTTAAAAACTTCAAACTACTTGTTCCACGATCATACGTTTTCGAATCATCTCCCCAATGATGCAATGATATAATGGTGCAAAATAATATCGTGAGCGAATCGAACCGTAACGAACGATAATTATGGATAATCTTGTAAAGTAACGAATCCTCGTCAATAATATCAGACAGTTGTACATTATCTATTATTTCATTAATTTTTGAAATATTGTAATCAGCAATAATATTATACTGCTTTGTTTTGTCAATTTTAGATGACATGACTAAACAGTATTGTGTGATGATTTCAAAAACACATTTGTTTCCCAATAAAATAATTACGGTGTAACTGCGTGCGTGAAGAGATCTGTATAATGGTCAAAAGTACATAAAATAGAAATACACTGAAGTCAATCAGCATCGGTAAAGAATTCAGTACAATTATGCACGTCTCGCAAACCTTATGCATTTAAATAACATTTTAAAACCCATAAAACGTAGTTTTGATGTTTAGAGATCATAAGAAATAAATGTCTGTATGACCGAAGGATACGACATGATCCTATGAAAATTTCACAAGATTTGAAACGATTTCAGAAGAATCTAGGTTCAAGAATCTTATAACATTTCACAAGACTTTTCTTGTATCAAGATCTTCTATGATAGCGCAAGAAGTGACAAGATCTAACTATAGTTAGATTAACAAGAATTGAAACGTCTTTCACCTGGGAAGTGACAAGCTTTTATATGACCGTATAAGAATCCGTCTTATCTTACAAGATCATACCCATGATAATTTCCTGTCGAATCTCTCTATACATCTGCAATCATCTTTTCTGCATAATTTGTAATGTAGGCGATCACGACCATAGGACCGTCTTTTGTCACGTTTCTTAACCGTACACTTCATATGTGCTCAGCTGACGTCTGAAGTTGAAAAGAGCAAAACGTTTTAAATTCTTCAAAGAGAACGAGGATATTTCCATAGTAGGTATCGTCGCAAAATTTAAGTGGCAGAGATGAGTCATCGATCTTATGAGATCTTACGACAAGAATTCATATAATCTTGTAAGAACTAACAAAGTCTTGTACGAGACATTCTTGACTTCTGGCCAGCTCAAAATTTTCCACGATCTTATAAAATCTTACAAGGTTTAATGAAATCTTACGAAAAATCATCGAGACGGATTCTTGTTATAAAAATCATGCAAGACTTACGAAATCTTATGAAATCTTACTATAAGATCTCACATCAAGAACCACTTCCTATGTTTCTTACAGAATCTTAAAAATGCGAATCTTACGAAATCAGACGGAATCGTACAAGAATATTATAAGATCTTATAGCAAGATTCTTTGACCTGGGTATATATTTTCTGTCACACGGTTATATAAGATCTCACAAGATCACATGATTTTTTGTCATAAGATCTTGCAAGATCATATCCTAAGATCTTATTAAAAGATTTCACAAGAAAACACCAGATCTTGCAGGATCTTACAAAACGTTTTAGCTGAATATGTGATGATGGGAAACTCCGAAGAATTTATCTTTCTCAGCTCTAAAATACAAGACAGATTTATCAATACATACATATATCTAGGAATACCGATACAGATTGTTGACTTTATATCCAGTTAAAAGTGCGATTAAAATGTTCTTCAAATGCCGTTACAACCGACTTGAATACGCAACGGTTATTCTTCTCGATTTTATGCTTCATTCAAACTAAGAATATAACAAAAACTAAACAACCGAAATACATTTATATCTATATATATATACATCACATGGCTGGCCCAGTTCTATACTGTGCACATAATAGTCATCTAACTAAACAGTGTGTCAGCCATTTTCTTATATTCTCATTTTGACTGAAACATTTTCTTGTCTTTTCTCTTGTAGTGACACAAGTACTTTCTACTTATTTTCAGCTCAATTTCTAACTCAGCCTGCCTAAATCATTTATCGAATGTTGTCGAAGAAAAATCGAACAGAAAAACTTCATCTAGTCAGAAGAGAAAAAGAATTCAAAACTATTGCAAAATAACCTTGAGTTTGTCTCTTCTGACAATTCTATGTCAATACGGATACAGACTGAATACGGATACAGCATACAGAGTAAAATCCCAGAATCCCAAGAATTGATAAATACATATAGATATATGTCAATACGGAATCCAGAATACAGAGTAAAATCCCAGAATCCCAAGAATTGATAAATACATTTAGATATATGTCAATATGGATACAGCATACAGAGTAAAATCCCAGAATCCCAAGAATTGATAAATACATATAGATATATGTCAATACGGATACAGAGTAGAGAGTAAAATCTCAGAATCGGAAGAATTCATAAGTACATCGATGAATGTCAGTACGGGTACAGAGTGAGTGCTCTGCCTAGTCCTCTCTGATGTTGCTGTAGCCGTTGTGTGTTTAGTGGATACATTCTGTATCCGTATTATGGCAGCACTCATCAAAAATGCAGAATTTAATTCTGTGTAAGATGGCAAGGCTAAAATCCTGTATTCAAAACGCTTTACTGCTTTTCTAGCCAAAAAACTAAAGTCTGTGAGAATAGGTTCAGAAGTTAGGTCTTTTTAGATTTATTAGGTTTTTGCATAGAGAAATTTTCCTAGAAAAGTGAGCTGCTAAAGTTTCCAAAAATACGTGAGATCATGCAGAATTCCCTTGTGAATTTTCTGATGTTTTCAGAACTCTTATGTAATCTGTTTTGTGGATCAAGGCAAATATTTTTCTATTTTCAGTGTGTCGCAGTTCGACAGCTCAGCACCATTCAAAATATGGAATGCTCAAACAACAAAAAAGAAATTCTGTCAGAGATTAAAATAGCAGGTTTTGTAGATTCAATTCTCTATCGATTCACCTTAGAAAACAAACTCTTGGAACTACTGGACAGTGCCTCAACAACGACGAATAATAGTGTCCCATTTTATCTGGGCCACCCGCTATATCTCACTAATCTCTGTCATACGTGAAGCAAGATCAATCTATCTTTTTCTAGAAAATACATCAGTATATAGTAGTATAAGTAGTATATATGGTAATTAAAATTGCTGCTCTAGCTCAAACTTTTCTTCACATGACTGCCTGCGACTACGGGGTAATCACGACTGCTCCTTCGTATAGTGTAATCTTCACCATTTTTTCTGTTTTACAGAGATTTCTTTCATGTATTTTTTGCTCTCACGTTCTTAGCTTTGACAAACTAGTTTTTATACCTTTGGTAGCGAGCCGTTCGTTGATAGAACATGTGCGGTAGCGATCCGATAGAACACACATTCGCTCACGTTGTACTTTAGGTAGCCTATTTTCTCACTGGTTAATTCCTTCAAAACATTAATTTCATCCCGTTTGCTCTTTAGTTCAGACTACGCATGCAACAATCTCAAGCCAGGGCTCGCTGATCGGTAGCGAACATGTTCTATCATTTTGTCTACGAAGACAAAATGATACGTGGTCACGCAACTTCCACAACGTGGAACGTTTTCAATCAAAAGTTACAAGAATTTTATATAGAAGCCCTAAAATATATATCGTAGCTCGCTACGATGCTTCGTTATCAAGAAACCTTGCAGCTACGAGCCGTCCCATCTAAACCCTAGTTGAGGGAAACCGTGATAGATGACTCCGCTAAAATCTTACAAAAAGCGTACAATCGTAAGGTGAACATTGGGCACAACATGGATACTGGTACAAATATCCGTATTGGGCTATCGTGACAGGTTGTTTACGGATTAAAGCTAATATGGCCTTTTTTATCTATCTTCTCCGCTGAGTTGTTCTTTCGAAAACGTACTACATTTACATCAACTTTATCCCAACAGTTTGAAAGTAATCGGACTAGTACAACTAGGCATGCACCAGTTCCAATCTTAGGCTTGGAGGATTGGTACCAGTTAGGCTTGGTATCAATCCCGACAATCTCCAGTTAGGCTTGGTATCAGTCGAATTGGTCGACCAGTTAGGCTTGGTCGAATGCAGTAGGCAAGAGCTTCACCGTACAATCTATGATGTAACCGTCATTGCACTATGCGCTTAGAGTAATTTTTTTTGTGCTTCTGTTTTACTTCAAAGAAGATCACTCTCTCAGAAGTGTATTCTTATTTTTCTGTTGACGAGGTTTATTTAGTCC